AGCTGTAGCACACTAGACCTTAGAGCTCCAGCGAACACGAACAGATTCGAGAACTAAGCAATATATATGATATGATGCGTGAGGCTTTCAGTAGAAAGCGAGATGAAGATGTATGTCTTATGTACCTTCTGCAACTTCTGCACTGTCCTATTTATAGGATTTCAAGCTCAAATGGGAGATGACATGTGCTCTTCAACTAGTAATAGCCAATAACAAGCCCAACCAGTAACAACTCATTAATGACCATCGTAAATGGACATTTTTTCAGGTGTTAACTCACTTTTACCAAATCAAGTTGGTATTCAATTGAAATTTTAAAAAGTCTGATAAAATCTTGAAGTATTTAATTTATTTGATACTAGAATTTGTTAAGACATTTAAGATCTGGTGGAATTTCTAAACAAAAAATTATATACCAAATCTCACTTCTAATCCTACCTCAAGACATAAATTTCATGAAATTTCTCCAAAATCTGAAAATTTTTAAAAGTATCAAATTTTAAAAAGTCTTAAGATGTCACTTAAAATTCCAATTAAATACATCCCTCAATTTTGAGAAAATAAATATGTCATGATTATGTACTCGAAACGTAGAATTTTTCTACATAATTTAATTCGACACAGACTAAATACTTAGCCAAATAACTATTCAAACAGATCAAACCCAAGTTTTATATCCAATTTTTTCATTAGATATAAATGAACAAATATGAAAATTTGTGTTTAGAAGACGAAGAAATTGAGCACAAACACTATTTGCGTCTCCATTTCGGAATCTATTGGAGCATTTCTGTTCGTTTTGGTACGAGTTTCGGTATCTGATTGAGTTGATTTAATTCTTAGAGAGTATTTGTTTACAAAAATACTCATACTCCTACTTAATCAATACTCAAAATTTAACTCAACTTTAATCAAACTATATTAGCCTTAATATCATGTACTCAATGTATTATTCATAACTCATATAATTTTAATTACTTATCACTTTATATCACTCGTGTTACATCAAAATAATTTTAATCATTCTATTTCAAATATTATTTTAATATCTCACTAAAAATTAATCAAATAATTTTTTCAAAATTAATCATGATTAATTATAATAATATAAAAATAATAACTTATACAAATATATAAATGTAGTGTACTTTGTTGCTATTTAATCAAACTTAAGTATGCCCATTAAATTAGACATGCTCAAAACCGGGCCGAGATCGGGCCGGGCGGGCTGGCTGGTTTGGTTTGGCGGACCCTGAACCGACACGGCCTAGGTTCGTAAGGGGACCATGACCCAGTGCGCCCGGATCGGCATGGCCCGAGTTTGGGCCCGCCCAAATAAAAAAAAAAAGGAAATTTTGAAAATCATATGTTTTTTCCGTGCCGGCACGGACTTGGCCCGACCCACCGGGTCAAGGTTAAAAAAATCCGACCCAAGATTGTCCCGGTTGAAATTCGAGTACGTGTTAGATCCGGGCCGGGCCGGCAGGCTGGTTGACCAATGGCCATCGTCCACATTAAATCAATAAAGAAATAGAGTAAATAAAACGAAGAAAAAAAACATGAGATTTAATTTGGTGTTACGTCGAATTGCAGATTGAACCGCCTTCTTTTTTTCCCATCATATTCCTCCACATTTCACATGCCTTCCCTTTCTCTCCCGAATTTCTCACACTTTAATTACCCACCTTATTATGAATTGAAACCATGCACATTAATTAAGAATATTTTCTTTTTGTCAATAATAACCTTATTTAATGAAGATAGAGATGAATGTTTAGAGAAAAAATGAAGAGTGAATATGAAAAGACATGACGCAGTAGAAAACGTACGATGGGAACAATATGAATTCTCAGAAGAACTCAAGAGAGATATTTTATTTCAATCGTAAAAACTGAATAACAATGAGTTTTCTGCCTCTTTAAATAGGCTCTCCACCCTAACTTATTTAAAACAATAAATATCCTAAACATAGGAAATAAATAAAAGAGAATAAATAAAAGGATAAAATACTAAATAAATAAATAGCTAGATACGAAGAGGGTCAAACTTGTCCAAGTACGCCAATGCGATCTCGTCGCCATCATTCTCCCCGGGTTGGGGAGGATTCGCCTTCGAATCCGGAGGGATCTCGTCGTCCGAATTGTCGCCATGAAAAGGAACAAGGTGCTTGACGTTAAAAACGTCCGAAGTGCGAATGTGAGAGGGAAGACGCAAGCGGTAGGCGTTGGGGTTAATTTTCTGCAAGATTTCCAGAGGCCCAATTTTTCGGGCCGACAGCTTGTTATACTCGTGAGCCGGAAAACGATCCTTAGTCAAAACAGCCCACACGAAATCGCCCTCCTCGAACTCCACATGGCGCCGCCGGCGGTCAGCCTGCCGTTTGTACTCGCACGTGACCTGCTCCAGACGGGCCCGGGTCGCCTCATGCGTCCGGCGCAAGTCGGCCATCATGTCCTCGGCGTGGCGGTTAACATCGCCCGGGGCCGGAAATGCCAGCAAATCGGACGGACCCCACGGCTGCACGGAGTAGACGATCTGAAAAGGTGAGAAACCTGTGGCCCGACACACCGCCGAATTATGAGCAAACTCCGCCTGAGGTAAACGGCTGTCCCAGCTCTTCACGTTGTCCCCGACCAAACAACGAAGCAGATTACCAAGGGACCGATTGACAACCTCCGTCTGCCCATCCGTCTGAGGGTGATAGGCACTACTGAAATCAAGGCGGGTGTTAGTCATGCGTCAAAGGCTCCGCCAAAAGAAACTCAGAAAACGTGTATCGCGGTCTAAGACAATAGATGAAGGGAGCCCATGCAGACGATAAATCTCACGGAAGAACAGTTGGGCGACGTGAAGAGCATCAGTCGTGCGCCGGCACAGAATAAAGTGGACCATCTTCGAGAAGCGGTCCACAACTACAAAGATGGAATCGAACCCGCGCTGAGTCTGGGGCAGTCCCACCATAAAATCCATGCTGACGACACTCCAAGGCTGAGTAGGAATTGGTAAAGTCCAATAGAGGCCCGCATTAGTCGACCCGCCCTTGGACACCTAGCAAATACGACAGCGTTCGACAAAACGAGACACGTCCCTCCGCAAGGAAGGCCAGAAAAATGATCGATGGACCAACTCCACCGAACGGTCCCGGCCGAGGTGACCGACACCATGCAAATTGCCCACCAACTTCAGACGAAGACTGCTGTCAGGGATATAAAGCGGAGGCCACGAAAAAGGAAGCCATCATGCAACACATAATCCTCAAACGGGCCCGACGCAAGGCGAGTAACAATGGGCCCAAAGAAAGGATCCGACGCATATAAGTCGCGAAGGACATCAAAGCCAACAACCTGCACTCGCAAATCCGACAACACGAGGACACGCCGACTAAGGGCATCCGCCACGCGATTAGAAGCCCCCGAACGATGCTGCAGGACAAACGTGAACTGCTGTAAGAAGGAAGTCACGTGGCATGGCGGGAAGAAATGTTGTCCTGAGAAGAGAGATGACGAAGAGCCTCATGGTCGGAAAATAAAACAAACTCACGGTGGAAGAGATAGTGCCGCCAATGCTGGACAGCACGATACACAGCATAAAACTCCACGTCATAAGTACTATACCAAAGCCGCGGTCCAGAAAGCTTCTCACTAAAGAATGCGACCGGGCGGGACTCCTGACTCAAAACCGCCTCAATGCCGACCTTAGAAGCATCACAGGAAAGCTCAAAAGGTCGAGAAAAGTCAGGCAAAACCAAGACATGTGCCGAAGTAAGACGATCCTTGATCAGTGCAAAGGCCTCGGCCGCCTGCGGTGTCCAAACGAAAGACTTCCCGGCAATACAGTCCGTGAACGGGGCCATGATGGAGCTAAAATGAGAGATGAAACGACGGTAGAAGGAGGCGAGGCCATGAAAGCTACGGGCCTCAGTAACTGTCGTAGGTGGTGGCCAGTCCCGAATGGTGGCAACCTTCCCGGCATCCACACGAATACCATCCGCTGAAATAACAAAGCCAAGAAAAAGAACCGAATCCACCAAGAACACACACTTGAGCGGTGCAGCATAAAAGGACTCAGCACGAAGAATAAAAAGTACCTCTCGCACGTGGCCCAAGTGTGTCTCCAACGACTGGCTGTAGATAAGAATGTCGTCGAAGTAAACGACCACACATTTACCGATAAGATCCCGCAAAGCCTGGTTCATTACTCGCATAAAAGTGCTCGGGGCATTAGACAAACCAAACGGCATAACCAACCACTCAAAAAGGCCCTCGCGAATCTTGAAAGCTGTCTTCCATTCATCACCTGGGCGAATACGTATCTGATGATAGCCACTCTGGAGATCAAGCTTGGTAAAAATGGTGACCCCGTACAATTGGTCCAAAAGATCGTCCAGTCGAGGGATAGGGAAACGATAACGGACCGTAATTTTATTGATGGCCCAGCTGTCCACACACATACGCCAAGAACTGTCCTTCTTCGGGATCAACAGGGCCGGAACGGCACATGGACTGAGGCTACGACGGACCACCCCCTTCTGCAAAAGCTCCTCGACCTGCCTACGTAACTCCTCATGCTCCGTAGGGCTCATACGGTAATGTGGGCGATTAGGAAGGACCGCTCCCAGCACCAAGTCAATGTGGTGCTGAATATCACTTAAAGGAGGCAACCCGGGAGGTAACTCAGAAGGAAAGACATCAGCGAACTCATCTGACAAAGGCTGAATGGCTGGTGGTATCGATGCACTGGCAGGGACGTCGGTATGTAAAAGTAAAAGGACAATGGGCGCCTCACGCAGCTCTGCCTCAAAAGCTGACCGCGAGAGGAACAAGACCGGAGAAGCCACCGGCTGAGGCAAAGGGCGAGGAGGAACAAGACCGGAGAAGCCGCCTGCAAAATCATCTTAACACCGTCAAATGTGAAAGTATAGGTGTTAAGACGACCATCATAAAGAACCGAGCGGTCAAAGATCCAGGGGCGCCCCAATAGCAAGTGGCAGGCATCCATACGGACTACGTTGCACCAAATCCGATCATGATACGATGCTCCAATAGAGAAAGAGACCAAGACCCGGCGGTTAACAGTCACACCACTGCCACGGTTGATCCAAGCTAACGTGTAGGGACAGGGATGCGGCTCCGTGGTCAACCGAAGTTTAGACACTGCCTCTTCGGCCAAAACATTCTCACAAGACCCGGAGGCCACGATAAAACGGCACACACGATCACCAGTAGTACATGTGGACTCAAACAACTGATGTCGCTGGCTAAAAGAATCTGAATCGCCATGGGGAGACAAACAAGAACGCCGCAGCACAAGGCACGTGCCAACATCACCACAATGAACCTCAACATTCTCCAACTGCTCCGTATCAAACACTGACAGTCCATCATAAGCGAAATGGTCATCATGCTCACCATCCCCGTCAACAAATAACTGTCGGCCCCCGGTTGAACGAGGACACTCGGACCGACGATGGCCCGCCTCGCCACAAGAAAAACAGCGGAGACCACCACCAGGGCGAGGCCCCACCGGTGCCGCCGTCGCGTCGGATGACAACCCCAAAGGCACGGGACCCACGCGGCCGTCTGTCGGACGGGCTGCTGTCCCAGGAACTGTGGCAGGTTTTGACGGGCCGGACGTCGATGGGCTGAAACGGATGGCTGGAGAAAAACCGACGGAAGGCCGACGTGATAGTTGCTGCTCGGCCAGGAGATCACGTTGGTGAGCATCCGAAAGAGTGACGGGCATGAACATGTTAACGGTATCCTGAATCGCAATACGAAGCCCGCTAATATACCGGGAAATTAGTTGCACGGTGGTTTCCCGGCTATCAATACGGGTAAGCAATTTGTAAAACTCTTTAGTGTAATCATCAACCGAACGGGTGCCTTGACGAAGGGTTTGAAATTTTTGATACACAACACTGACGTAATTAAATGGTAAAAATTCCTCTTCCATATTCCTACGAAATTTAGCTCAAGAAGTAATAGGAGATTTACCCAAACGATGCCGCCGTTGTTCAAGTTGAATAAACCAAGCCGAAGCGCGGCCACGCAAGCGAGTCGCGGCCAGCCCTACGCGGCGATCGGCAGGCACTTGTTTGAAATTGAGGGCCGTCTCCACCGCTCCAATCCAGTTCAAGAAGTCGCCGGCATCGAGACCGCCTGAGAACTCCGACAAATCGACACGAAAGCCGGCCTCCCAGCGCGAGTTCGCGCCCTCCGCTGCACGTCGGTGACCGCGGACGTCGTCCTCGCTGTCCTCGCCACGGTCGNGCCGCGTCCGCCTCGAGCCCCGCCGCGACCCGCCCGGCCTGCTGGGTCACCGTCCGCCGTCCCTTGCGCCATCAACATCCTCATAGCTTCGCGAATCTCATCGATCCCTTCTGCGAGACCTTCAACCCTACGATCAACCCGATCAATTTGAAACCCCAGATCATCCGTTCTTCGATCCAAGTCTTCCAAATGAGCATCTCGTCGGTCATTATCTCGTTTTGGCGGCATCTTGAATCGGTCTGACTCTGGATACCAACTGACGCAGTAGAAAACGTACGATGGGAACAATATGAATTCTCAGAAGAACTCAAGAGAGATATTTTATTTCAATCGTAAAAACTGAATAACAATGAGTTTTCTGCCTCTTTAAATAGGCTCTCCACCCTAACTTATTTAAAGCAATAAATATCCTAAACATAGAAAATAAATAAAAGGGAATAAATAAAAGGATAAAATACTAAATAAATAAATAGCTATATACGAAGAGGGTCAAACTTGTCCAAGTACGCCAATGCGATCTCGTCGCCATCAAGACATAATGTATTTATTAGCTAAGTGAGAGTAATAATGCAAAAATATGTACAAAAGATCCAAAACGACATTTATTTAGTTAATAGTTGATAAAAGTAGAATGACATTTTAAAAAAATAGGAGGGAGTATTATATAGGGAATGACTACAGTTTCATTGACGGAATGTTTCTGTCTATTTTGATCATCGTAGATTATCCACACAATAAAATTTATATGTGTATCCAACGATGAAAAACATTTTTTCGGTATCATCCCTTAATGTGATCTTAGCATTTTCTTATTTATTTATTTATACAGTGACTCTTATTTATTTATTTAACTATAGTCTCGTTACGGAACCATTCCGTCGGGATTTTTAACCGTAGATTATCATGTAACTGCCGTGGATAGATGATCTAACGGTTACAAATTTCGACAAAATGATCCGTAACAGAAAGTAGAATCTCACTCTTAATTACCACCTTATTATAAATTGAAACCATGGTTACTTACTTGTAAATATTGTGTAGTATTTATTTATATAGAGTCAGTCTCAGTGTCACACCTTTTTCCCCTTATTTTCCGCTTTCTATTTTGTAATAATGTTGTGATATAAAACCCGCACCCAACTCTGTCTCTCTCTGATTGATTCATTGCTTTGCGTTTTTTTTTTAATTTATTTGCTTTGTGTAATTCTTTTTTCCCTTCAAACTCTGCATGTGCTCTTCTTTTTCACTTTCAGGCTTTGAATTAATGTGCTCAGTCCCATTTTTGGCCTACCCTTTAATTACTATAACATAAATATTCAAACATTCATCTTTGAGGTGAAAAGAAATTGACGAGCACATATCTCTCATAAATGAATTGGTTTTTGGGAAGCTCGCTCGCTCGCTGATTTCTGGATAATCAAGTAAGCAAGGTCAGTAATAAACTTTTACCTCATTCTATCATTTTCACCCTGTTTTTTTTTTTTTTACTGTGTTTTTTGCAGGATTAATTTATTGGGTCTGATTAAGTTGCTGTAAAAAAGAAGAAGAAATGGCCGGCCGGGAAAGCAGCAACTGGCTCTCATTCTCTCTATCATCTATGGAAATGTTGAACTCGTCTTCTTCTTCTTCATCTTCTTCTGCTTCTACACAGCAGCCTGTTGATTCCCACCATTATTACTCCTTTTCCGACAGCTTTTATACAGCAGCTGGTGAGTTAATTTTTCATTTTATTCGTGTAACTTTTTTTTTTTTTTTTACCTATCTGGATATGAATATATACAGCCTGCATACATACATACATGTTTCTGTATTTAATATTTATCACTGTCTTTTGGAGTTTTTCGGAATCTTTTTGAATGGTCCTTCCAACAAACACCTCGTTGTTTCCGTTTTATTTTCTGATTTATTTATTTATTTATTTATTTATTTTAACTGTACAAAACAAATTTGAATTACAGTAGCTAGAAAGGACAAGGAAAAAAAACACCTGTATTTTTTTCTTCCATTTTTTTTTTTTTTTCAAGAATCCACATTTTCTGATGTAAATACACACGCATGAATAATACCTCTTTATTTTCAGTTTTTTTTTTTCTTTTTTTTTTAGCTAATGTATAATATACAGCTGGGGTCATTCTCACTCTAGTTTCTCTCTCCTCCTGTTTGTAGTAGGGTGGCCGAGCCAGAAAGCTCAACCCATGTACCCACAGCCCCAAAATCACGAGATGAAGTCCGCCTACGGTATGCAGCCGCCGCCCAAACTCGAGGATTTCTTCGCCGCCGCGGCCACCGCCGGGGACTCGACGGAGACCCAAGACTCGTCCCTGACCCACATGTACGACCACCGCCACCAGGCACCCGCCGCAGCCTACTTCCTTGGCGGCGAGCCACAACAGGACCTGAAGGCCGTCGTGGGTTTCCCCACCTTCTCCGCCAACTCGGGCTCGGAGGTGGACGACTCGGCTTTCGGCGGCCAGAATCGGTCACCGGTTGACTCGGCCGCCGATTTGGTGGCGTACTCGCAGTGCCTTACGGCCACAGCCAACGGTCTGTCCTTGGGAAACAACAACATCAGCAATAATATTTACGATAATCGTCAGGCCATTGTTGTTGCTGAGTCAGAGAGCTGCAAGAAAACCGGCGACTCGTTTGGTCAAAGGACTTCCATTTACAGAGGCGTCACTAGGTACTGTATTGCTAGGCACTAGCCTCTATTTGTTATAAAAATTGATTCTTTTTTTGTTTTGTTTTGAAACATTTTTTCTACATGCATGGCTTATGGCTATGAACACTAATTCAAACATTTGAAATAATGAAGTTGAATTTGGTGATGGGATGTTGGTTTGAAGCAGACACAGATGGACGGGAAGATATGAAGCGCATCTATGGGACAACAGCTGTAGAAGAGAGGGCCAAGCAAGAAAAGGGCGTCAAGGTACAAACTTTCAAGTCTTTTCACGCTCATCTTGTCAACTCATACTTAGTTTATTATGTGGAGAAAAACATTAATCACAACAATTATAATAGATTTACAGTGAACAGTTCACTATATATATTTATATGTTTTTATTTTTTTTTATTTTTTATTTTTTGTGATGATGATTGATTGATGGGAAAAATGAACAAGATTTTGTACTTGGATCTTTTTACCCCCTTGTTAAATTTCATTCAATCTTTCATAGATTTGGTGATATAGGCCGTCGTTTTTGTTTCATTTTTGTTCAAGAACAAATAAATGTATGGTTTTTATGTATCTTTTTTTTGGAACCCATTCCATCGAGGTTCGTAACCGTTAGATCAACTATCCCCGACGGTTACATGATGATCTAACAGTTACAAATTCCGACGGAATGGTTCCGTAACGGGACCGTAGTATTTCCCCTTTTTTTTATGATTCTTTTGAATATTGGTCTTCAGGTACCAGAGATGGTTAGTTTTGTCCATATGAGTTATTGAAATTCTTGTCCTCATTTTCTGTTTATAGCCTCCAAATTGACCCACCAAACTGGCCCGTGAACATACATACTTCTAAGCATTTTTACCTTAGCTAGTCTGAACACTAGTGCCTGAAATTCTGAATATTTTTCAGACTGCTTTTTTAGCTTTAGCTTTATTTTAACTTGTTTTTTTTTCTTGCTTTCTTTCTTTTACTGGGACAATGACTTACAATGGGAGTTTGACCAAAAGTCCCCACTTGCCCACATGGAAATTTGAATTTTGCTGCTGCCCACCTTATTTTCTGGAAAATTACACTTTTTTTTTTTTTTTTTTTTATTTTTTTCTTCTGATTTTTTAAATGAGCTTACTTTAAGTGCCCTTGTTTCTATATATGGTTTTCCACTTTGAAGCATATCTACTATTACTAATCATTTGTTTTATCCCCTTCTTAGAGAAGAACCAAAGTCTGAATTTAATAACCTGTAGCTATATTAAGGAATTTTGACATAAAAAACATTTGGTTTTGTTATTCAAGTTTATCTGGTACCTTGCTTGATGATAGGATCATGATGATGATGTACATTGTTGCCATATCGGGAGTCGAAAAAAGGGACCATGCGTGTTCTTTTGAACTTCTGTTTTTTTAAGTTGGTGACGTTATCAAATTTGTTAGGGTCGTACGGGTGCATTTAGACGTCGACTTGGTGTTCTTGAATTTTCAGAAACTAAAATTATTACGTAAGTCGGCTAGACAAAATTGCTGAACAGTTGAAGAAAAAAAAGTAAAGAGCTTCCATGTATGTGAAAAGTGTTGGTGTACTTTAGTACCTCTTTTGCTCATGTTGCTATTTGTTTCACATGTGAAAATAATTGCCATTCTTTGGGCAGTTTTCTAATGGGTTTTATTTCTTGCATGATTGAATTATACCGTGTATATCTCCTCGTTGACGTTGCTCGTATCGGAATTATCTGCCACAGTATACTTGGGTAAGTAAATGTTCTTTGTTTTTCCTCCTTCTCATTTCATTCGACTTTTATCCTTATGTAATCTATAACTGGTTGTGTTTGATACTATTTTATATGTGGGGTTTATACAGGAGGGTATGACAAGGAAGAAAAGGCGGCTCGTGCATATGATTTGGCTGCTCTTAAGTACTGGGGTCCTAGTGCTACCACTAATTTCCCTGTATTATATCTCATCTTCTTAAAAAACTTATGCATGATTGTTATATTCCATTTATCTTCATGAACTGGCTTCTAACTACAGAGAAATCGCAAATTTTAGGTTGCTGATTATGCAAAGGAGATGGAGGAGATGAAGGACGCCACTCGACAGGAGTTCATTGCCTCACTCAGAAGGTAAATTCTAATCCATTTTCTCTACATTAGTAACTCTTAACTAGGCAAAATTGTTCCTCAATCACGCCCTTTGGCAATTTCATTCAGGAAAAGTAGTGGTTTCTCAAGGGGAGCTTCAATTTACCGGGGCGTTACAAGGTTCGCAGTTCCCTCTTTACTAAAAAAAAAAATATGTGAAGTCTTTATGAACAGCAAAGTCTCTCACTTACATTTGAACTAAGAATAATTTTTGCTGATCGATTGGTAACTTACGCAGGCATCACCAACAAGGGCGTTGGCAGGCAAGGATCGGACGTGTAGCAGGGAACAAAGATCTATATCTTGGCACATTTGGTATGCCTAAAAACGTATCTATATTTATTGATGAGATTTAGAAATTAGTTTATATATATATATCTGCACTCCTTCATGCAGATACTTACATATATGTTTCCTTGTTTTGGTCGGGCAGCAACCGAGGAGGAAGCAGCCGAGGCGTACGACATAGCAGCCATAAAGTTCCGGGGCACAAATGCCGTCACGAATTTCGAGATGAGCCGTTATGACGTTGAGGCCATCGCCAACAGCCCTCTCCCCGTCGGAGGCTCCGCCAAACGCCTGAAACTATCTCTCGAAGGCGACCAGAAAAACATTTCGCCGCCACCTGGCGCCTCCCTTGAGGTCGCCTCCCCCGGAATCCAGCCGCTGCCGCCTTCTGCTGTCCCGCTGGACGGCAGCTCAGCCCCTTACTATCACCACAGCTTCCTACACCACCTCTACAGCCAGACGGCTGCAGCCAGCTCAGCTGGAGTGGGGGCTCCGGCGAGTTTCGTGCCGTTGCCGGGCGAGTTTTTCATCTGGCCTCACCAGTCTTATTAATTATGAGTTAAGATAATAACATTAGTGGCTCTAATTTATCATTAACTGATCTCCATTTGACAGGAAAAGGTTTAGGAGTTACTATTTGTTTTGTTTGATTTGATTTTATAAAGTAGTGAATGACCTGAAGAAGGATACAAGGGGGGGTTTCTTTTAGTTGTGGCTTAGGTAGAAGCTCTAATTCATGCTGTAAGTAGCTTCCTATGGAGTAGCCTTTTGTCTTGGGATGTTATGGATTAATTTTCAACTGGTTTTCTATTACTAGATTCTGTTCCTGTGACTGATCGATCAGTTTCCTTTTTTAGCTCGATTTAGTGTTTAAAATCGATACCGATTCTAATATATGCTCTCGGGTGCTTCTATGTGATGATGTCTTGCTATCAGATGTGGAGTTCTTGATTCAGGTTTAAGATATCATCAGCAGAGAATTTGAAATGCTCCTTAAAATTCTGTGTAAATGAGAGAGTCAAAATGGCCATTCTTGTCTGATTTGAATAACAGATAGTTTTGTACAAAATGGCTACAGAAGAAGTTGTCTCCAAGTAAACAATCAAACAAATATTTACAAGATGGCTATAAAATATTGGGGCTCTTCTAATTTCTCATTGATCAATAGTAACACTATTTTCCAAAACAACCTCTGATGATAATCAAACAGCAGACACAGCTAACATGTACACAACAATGAATGCTAGCAAATTTTACTACAAAAAATGGATTTTTGTCGAATGTGTTCTTTCACTCCATGACGAGCTCCATGTGACGATTTAAGTCCTTAAGGTAAGCCGTGCTGTTATACTCTTCCAACTCGAATGCATCCAAGAGGAATGACCGGCTGCCCATCGATTTTTGCTTCATGTCCGCTAATCCTTCGTTTTCCCCTTTCAGAAGCTGCACAACCTGCATCAATCGTAATTCAGAATGTAAAATGGCTTCTTAGCTCTATGAAGATCTCAAGTTTTTTTTCTTTTTTTGGCACCAGATAACTGGAAGGAAGAAAAAACGGGTACCCGTTTCATGTTGGGCCGTGAGTCGGGCGAGTGGTGAATGCAAGCCGAGGCTGTCAACATTGTGCGTCTCATTTCTGCAGAGTTGTAGGTTTCCCCTAACCGGGGGTCAGCTATTTCTTTCATCTTGTTCTTGTCGAGAAGTGGTTTTGCCTGGGCAGAGTTATAAAAATTAAACAACAGAGAATTACAGTAGATTGAGAGTAAAAAAGAGATGGTATAATATGGAATTCATATAAGTCCATACCCACATCACGAGGCTTTGGCTGCTTGAGTCGACCGCCCGGCGGCCGGTTATGAGCTCGAGTAGGAGAACCCCAAACGCAAAAATGTCTGTCTTCTCGTTGACCATCCCGTGCATGAAATATTCCGGAGCTAAGTACCTGATTTTTTTTAAAAAAAAAATCACAAAATTATTGATTAACATGGAACTGAAGTGAAAATATCTGCAGTTAGGCTATTATTTTTATCCCATACCCAAAAGTGCCTTCAATTGGAGACACAACAAGATGGCCCCATTCCTCAGGTAGCCATTTTGCTAGCCCAAAATCTGATATCTGTTAAACAAAATTCAAGCTTCATAGCTATTTAAAAGATCATATACATTGTAGCTTCAGTTTATTACATTGACATGGAAGAAAACTAATGAGCGAACCTCGGGTTCATAATCTGCCGAGAGTAATATGTTTGAGGCCGTTATGTCTCTGTGAATAATTCGTCTTTGGCAGTTGCAGTGCAGATACTGAAGTCCCTCGGCAATTCCAACTGCCACCTTATACCGTAATTTCCACTCTAAACACTCGGTACAACCTGAAAACCCATGAAACTCTCCATTAGACAACATTGGCTTATATTCTTTTAGGGGCTAATAATGGAAAAGAAGTTTGAAATGCATTACCATGAAGGACAGTGGCAAGACTTCCGTGCGGAGAAAACTGGAGGACAAGGTGAAAGCCGTTATCGGCACTAAAGCCGACGAGTTTAGCGGTGTTTGGGTGGTCAATGTGGGCTATGATCCCGAGTTCGGCTAAGAAGTCGCCGACTCTATCTTCGTCTTTTTTGTTTTCCTTTTTTATCTTCTTTACGGCTACCACTTGGCCGTCCGGTAAGTACCCTTTGTACACTTCTGCATGTCCCCCTTTTCCGATCAACTTATCTGGTGGGACAGTTGAATGAAAATAGTTTCAAAAGGCAAAAGCACCAAGGTTGTTTAATTCATTGCCTACTTCTAACTCAGACAACAAAAAACTGTTCAAATTTGACTCATTTTCTGTACTAATTTATGGCTTCATAAATTTCTCAAATTCAAAACATCATCAACAACAAGAATGATGAAATAATATGTTGGGATTTTTTTTATTTTTTTTTTTAAAATTATTTTTACCGGAGTTAAAATCATCGGTGGCTTGTTTGAGCTCCTGGTAAGTAAAATTCCTCCAAGACGGCTTAGGCACTACAAACTCCCTGTCGTCCCCGGCCAGCTCATCAAGAGTAGCACTACTACTGCGGCCCCTTCCCGCCTTTTTATTCCGCCACATCTTCTTGGACGACTTGGACAGGTCGTGCCCCGTCAGCAGCAGGGACATGGTCGAGAACTTCCACGCGGACGACGACGTTTTCTTCACCTGCCCGAACATCTTCTTCCACTGCAAGTTGCCGTAGTTAATCGCCACGTCGCCTCCAGCCATATGGGACTTGTTCTCCCCTGCCGGGCTCATGCTCACCTGATCCGAATCCGAGCCCGACCCCGAACACGAAGCCCGGACCTCCAGCACGCCCCTCGGCGAGGGCTGATCTTCGCTTTCGTCTTTTCTAACCGCTTTGGCCTCTTCTTCCTTTTCTCTTTCTCCATTTTCGGTTTTATTTTCTCCTGCCATATCATTGCCAAAAAAAAGTGAAATGAAGAAAAATGTGTTGCATGGGAACAAAATGAGCATATTGAGCAAATTTACCTTCCATGGCCTGATTATAAGGATATATACTTGAATGCTCTCAGGGCAATGAACCAAATATCATATATTACTTTCAGAAGATATATTAAGTTTTCTTGGCCTCAGGTTTTCAGAAGACGTCAGAAAAATGTAAATAAAAAGAAGAAGAAAAAAAAAAAAGAGTTATCAAAGAAATTTCATTAAAATTCCCCTGTCCTGCCCTGCAAGAACAGAGGATAGAGAGAGAGAGAGGCAGAGTAAGAGAGAGAAGGAAAAAAAGTTGGTATATGATCTGTGAAGAGAGAGAGAGAGAGAGAGAGAGAGAGAGAGAGAGAGAGAGAGAGAGAGAGAGAGAGAACTATAAGTAGCTTTGTGGTGGTGAAGAGAATAAAAGGAGTGATTAATAAATGAAATTATTTCTTGTAAGGAATAAAAAATTGCGTTTTGTAGGGGCGGTTGGCCGCGCAACTACCGCTGCTGCTCAGATTTATAAGCATTTAACGGATTCTACTCAAAACCTCTCACTGCCTCTTTTGTTTTGGGTAGACATAATTTAATGTGTTAATCTATTCTATATCTATACTATTATAAAAGAGCCAATGAATCTGTAAAAATATGTTTTCCCTAAATTAACC